GAATACAGTGCTGTCAGGAGCTAGAAGATTCAAGAAAGAAAACACAGATAAAAATCACTGAACATGTCAGTGCAGCTGGAATAGATAAGGATGATGAGGATTAAAATCATGTTGGTCGCTTCTTTTGTTACAATTAAGTCAGGAACTAGTGTCTGATTTAGATCTACATGTTGTGCTCACCATAGCTATAGCATGAAAAAAGCTAGGACCATATAATTATGTGACACAAAATGGACTAGTTTCTAAACTTTACAACAAGATAGCCAATATGAACTATTTTACAAATATTGCACATTATGACACATTAGAATGATTACATTTGAAATGTTAAGATATATCTTTAGAGAGTTCTTTTAAAAGTCTCTATCAGTTACACATATTATAATTTATATTATTTTGGATTACTTTGGCTATTTATCTTATATAGCATACACAGAATAATTTATCTTTAGAAATACCATTAGTATTTTACTGAAGGACAAAGCACTTACAGATTCAACATTTCTATTTTAAATTTATAAATTAGTTTTCATTAGTTTGCATTATAATAGCTCGGTTATTATCTGGTACCTATTGTATTGTGAAATAAGTATGGTGATTTTTAAAACCTGGAATAGTTTTGACAAAAGTTGAACATGATTTCATATAATTAAGGACTTTTTTTACTGTATAAATGACCTTATTTAGTTATTAAAACTTATTCATTGGTATATGACATGTTCAAGGGCAATTGTGTTTGTAGGGGCAATTAAATATGAACTGGCATGTTTGTTTGTTTTTTTCTTAGCATGTGTTTTTAACCTTACTATTCAGTTCACATGTTTAAGTATTAAGAATAGTAATGAAGAATAAGATAAATGCTTCCCTCAAGAGGTTTAGAATTTTTGGAGATGAGACAGAAACAAATTGCTATGTAGTACAATAAGGTAAAGATAAGAGCAATGTTTGCACAAGGTACTCTGGAGAAACTGAATATATATAAAGGGTAGAGGGTAATGGAGGAATAATTTTCCAGTCTATGTTATGAGATTAATTAACTAGACAAGCAAATTGTGAATACTATTCCAGTGGGGGGAAAAAGCATGAACAAAAATATTAAAATATTTTGTATTTGGCCTGTGGAGCATAGTTTAACAGCAGTTGACAACTATTCTAATGAAAGGTGGCGAGTTAACAATTGGAGCTGACTTAGGGAATTAAATAGGGTTAAGGACCTAATGTTGAAACTTAGGCAAGCTTCGTTCTAAAGAAAAGAAAAAGCATAGTCTAGTTAAGCTCTGGGCTACTGATCGAAAGGCCAGCAGTTTCAACCCACCAGCTGGTCCACAGGAGAATATGTGCCAGTCTGCTTCCCAAAAGATGTACAGCCAGTTCTGCTCAGTCCTGTAGGCTCCCTACGAATTGGAATCAACTCAATGGCCATGGTTTGGGGTTTGATTTAATTCTACCATCTGGAGGCCAAAAATAGAGTCCAAATGGAAGTCCACACATCACATCCCCCATACATTGAACATTTACAAATAATAAATAAGGCTAGCAAATTGTTCATTGAAATACATCTTGTCATCCAAATGAAATCTGTGGGATGATCCCAGGACACAGATCTGAATTTTGAAATCTCAAGTCCCCAGAGTTCTGCCCTTGAATGTGACAGTGTGGTGAGAAGCTGCCTCTGGCTCCCAGCTAATGGTTTGTTCCATCTCCGCTTCAAAAGAAAGGTGAAGACTTTTTTTGAGTGTCTCATGGAATAACCCTGGTGCAAATCTTTGTTTCTGTTCTATATACAACTGTGGAATAAATTCTGGAGCTTTATGAAAAGGTGAAGAAGACTTATTTTGCCTTTTGGGTAAATTATCCCTAATATTCCATCAAAATAGATGCATACATTATTAGACTGTCCCCAGTATGACATATATTTAAATAGACCTAGTGTGGTGGTAGAAATAGGATATAGAGCTCAGGTATACTTAGGGCACGAGGTTGTTATGATTAGGAATGACTTGATGGCTGTGAATCTGCTTTTGGCGTTTAGGACATAAAAATACAGAGGACTTAGTGAGTTGGTTTTTGTTCTTAGGACAAAAATGCACAGCCTATACATATTGATATATGGATTAGTTTTTAAGCATATGGCCTGTCAATTTTCTTTTTTTTTTTTTTAACATTTTATTAGGGGCTCATA